TGGGATCCGAGCCCTCGGCGGGAGCGCCGCCATGCTCCCAAGCAGCGCACCCTCCAGTGCGCCACTGGGCCGGCCCACTATTTAAAACTTTTAATTGTCCACACTTATGTATAGATTCATCTCAAACTCAATCAAAATGCCAACTTATTTTTTCATGTGAATATTAATAAGCTAATTCTAAAATTTATATAAAAGTGCAAAGAACTAAAAAGCAAGAGAACATGCTCCACTAGATAATAAAAGACTTGTTACATGCTAGTATTAATGTAGAGTTGTATTGGCACAAGGATTGATAAATAAGCCAATGGAACAGAATAAAATTCAGAGATAGACTCACAGATAAAGGAACACATGATTTATAACAAAGGTGGCCCTATACAGAGTGGGGAAAGAATTCACTTCAATAAATACTGCTGGGTCAACCGGTTATTCACATGGAAAAAAATAAAGTTTGACTCCTACCTCACAACATATACAAGTATCAACTACAGGGAACTGTAGATCTAAATGTAAAAGGTAAAACAATAAAGCCACTAGCATATAACATAGAAAATATCTTCATGACATTGGGCTAGGCAATGATTCCTGCTCAGGACACAAAAAAAGCAACACTATAAAGGAAAAAATAGATAACTTTAATCACATTAAAATTGGTAACTTCTATTCATCAGAAGATACCATTAAGAGAATAAAAAGGTAAGCTATAGAGTGATACGAGATATTTACATTACATATAATGAACAAAGGGCTCATGTACAGAACATAAAAAAGAACAACTTCAAACCAATAAGAAAAAACAAGACCCAGTAAGTTTAGTCAAGAAACGTAAACAGGCATGTCACAGAACACACACACACACACCAGAATGGCTAAAATTAAAAGGTCTGGCAATACCAAGAACTGGTAAAAATGCAGAGATGGTAACTTTCATACTGCTGGTGGAAGTGTAAACTGGTATAACTACTTTGGAAAACTGGCATCATCTATTAAAGTTGAATGTACACATATCCTATTACCCAGTAATTTCACTCCTAGGTATATGCCCAAAAGAAGTGTGTACATATGTAGTGTATTAAATATGTCCCCCCAAAACTCACTGAAGCTTGAATTGTGTCCCCCAAGTTTTATGTATTAGAAACTCGGTCCCCACTGTGACTGTTAAGTAGGTGGGAAATCCTATTATGGTAATTGAAAGGTAGAGCCTTGAAGAGGTGATTGGATTGTAGGACCGTGCAGTAGTGGATGGATTAAAAATGGTGGTCAGGGGCATGGCTCTGAGGGCTTTAAAAGAACAGGAGAGTCTGTCTTCCACTCTTTCTTGCTCTCTCTGCTTCCACCATCTTGCAATGTGAGACCCCTGGGTCCACTGTTGCCACCACCAGATGGACTTTGGACTTCCCAGCCTCAGAAACTGTAAGCAATAAATTTTCTTTGTCTTTATTAATCACCCAGTTCCAGGTATTTTATTATAAGCAACAAAAACAGACTAATACAACATATATTCACCAAAAGGTATATACAAGAATGTTCATAGTAGTATATGTGTAATAGCTAAAAACTGAAAACAATCCAGCTGTCAATAGTAGAAAAGATGCTTAATTAATAGTAATTAATATATAATAATGCATAACTTCAAATATATTCATATAATGAAATACAACATTGCCAGTGAGAATGAACTAAGATCAGCTATACGCAACACCAGGGAAGTATCACAAAATGTTGAGCAAAAAGAGCCAAAAGCAAAAGGTTAAATATTGTATGCTTCCATTTATATAAAGTTCAAAAATAGGCAAAACTAATCCAGGGTGTTACAATCAGTATGATGTTTATTTTGGGGGAGGAAAAGAGGCTAGTGATTGGGAGGGGGCAGGGAAGGGATTCTGAGGTGCTAGTAATGTTCTATTTCTTGTCCCGAGTAGTAGCTATATGGATGCATACACTTTACCAATTCATCATGCTGCACAGTCATAATCATGTAGTTTTCTGTATGCATGTATTTGAATTGTTAAAAAAGTAAAAAATAAAGAATTTTTTAAAAGTAATAAAATAACTTCTAAAAAAATAAATAAAAGAATAAGTGCTAAATCCAGGACAAATTAGCCAAAGAAGTTAAATAATTTGGAAGTAGGTAAAATGAAAACTAATACAGGGAATAAAAAGAAAGCACATACACATTTACACACATGTACTTCTCAGGATGTAAATATCAACTGTTATACAAGTCTAAATGCAGCATATCCTTAGAAGGAATCAAATCCAAAATCTGGGTAGGATAACTGCTTTGGGAATGAGGAAGGTACTTGCTACATTGGATAGGAAAGAAAGTATAAGAGAAAAAAAGCATGATAGCTCAAAGGCAAGAGACCTTAGGCCTTTGAGGGGAGCTTCCTGATAACATCTCAGAGGTAATAACTCCTCACAACCCTGCTCCTTTCCTATGATTTCTCACTTACCTGAACACAGGCCTCTCGTTAGCTCTCTGTCAACCATCCAAGGCTCTTTTCCTTGTTCCAATAAGGAGATCACAGCTGGCTTAGAACTGGAAAGTCCTGGTCACAAGAAAAGACATGGGACATGGTTATGCTGTGGGTGTCCCAGAAACCAGATCCAGTACCTTGGCGATCAAGGAAGAGATGCCACTACAGGAAGGACCAGAGAAAGATGGAGAAGATGAAGCTTCAGTTGCAACCCACTGGAGCTGCCCATTTCCAACTCTTCCATTCCATTCCAATTCAAACCATTCCTTGGAGAACAGGGAGCAGAAATTCAGCTGGTTAATTTTAAGTGAATAATAATTCACAATAGAGAAAGGAGACATTCCCAAGGACAGACTCTGAATTTTGGGGTATAGTTATCCTTACCCACTGAAACCAGGTTGCTGAAATTCTCCAACATCACTTCTTTGTATAAATTCATCTGACCAGAGTCCAGGCATTCCCATTCCTCCTGAGAGAAGTCTATGGACACATCCCTGAACATCACTGACCCCTGAAACAACAAATATGCTTTCACAATGAAAGGAGAGAAGAAGAAGATGGCAGTAGAGAAGATGGTAGAAGGCTCTGCAGGAAAGCACAGAGTAAGCGAATTGAGGGGCTAGAACCCTATCATATCAGAAGACACATCTCTTGTGTATGGAGGGATATATTTAGGAACGTGCAAATAGACTTTTCCAATGACATGAAATAGCAAGCATCCAGTTCAGTGAGTGAGTCTCTTTCCGCTTCCCTGTTTTCCTTTAAGACCCAAGAAAGGGAAAAACATGATGGACCTTCAAGAACATCTTACAATATATTTTGGAATAAAATTTCAGAATATCAGGGAAAAACAGAACTTTCTAAAAGCTTCCAGGAAGAAAACACAGATCACATAAAAAGTTTCAGGAAACAAAATGGCAATGCGATTTCCAACAGCACCATTTGAAATAAGAAGAAAACAAAACAATTCCCTGTATTACAAAGGAAAATTAATTCTGGCCTAGAATTCTATATCCGGCCAAATTACAGAGCCAGTGTGAAGATTAAATTAAGACAATTCTAGGTCTGCAGGAAATGATAAAATTATCTTCGACATAACATTTCTTAGGAAGCTACTGAACTATGTGTTCCATCAAAGCTAGAGAGTAAATTAAGAAAAAGAAAAGGTATTATATTCAGAAACTGGAAAACTAACATGAGAATGGCGAACAAAATCCCAGTATAACTGTGAAAGGCAAGTCCTAGGACATCTGGCAGCAGACCTAGAGAGCAACATCTAGTAACAGAGAGACAGAGGACTATAGGAAAGAGGTTTCCAGGAAAAATAAGGAGCTAAAAAGTTTGATCATGTTATTATTATTATTATATTATTAGAAAATATTATTATTAACAGCAACTGACAGCAATGTCGGAGGATTTGGAAAAAAAATTAACAACATGTATAAGGCACCAGGCTAATGAAGAAATAAGGCAATTTACTCTCAGAAAAATGAAAATTGTACTGGAAAAAATCCATGGTCTACTGTAGTACTTGGCTCAGATTAACAATATCTGTAAGGTCCTAATCACATGGATAGCAATGATTTAAAGAAAAATTGTGATATAATTCTATTGCAGGGATAGGAAATGAGCACTGTGGTATAGGAAATCTCAATATACATTTACCTGTCAGGGAGCAACTAGAAAATGTCTATCACAAAATAGTAATATAGGCATATTAATTATAGGAAAAATGCCAAAAGAAATAGCAAAAAGAGTTGAGGGTAGCCACCTTAGGGGAGTGGGATTAGGTAATAGGACATGTCCTAACTTGAATTTTTAAAATGCAAAATCAGTTAAACATTTATTTAAAATGTCACTATCTTAGACAACAGCATAACTTAACTTTTTTGGAAAATGTAGTTCTTTAATGACTGTTAGAAGAATTCTTCCCTATTAACATAAGTTCTCTAACTTTTAGAGTTTTATAGTGGCAGAAATTTCCACAATTTAAATACTGAATAAAACCTTTCATTTCAGACATTTTGATAGGTAAAATCTTATGATCCTTTCTAGATATACACTCCCCTCCCCAAACCTTGCCCTGTGCATCTCTTCCATTTTGCTGTTCCTTAATTATTTCCTTTGTAATAAAACCATGAGTTCTGTGAATTGTTCTAGTGAATTAATGAACCTGAGGGAGGGTCACGGGAATCTCAATTTGTGGTTGGGTGGGCAGAAGTATAAGGCCTTGGGGACACCCAACACTGTGGCTGGTGTGTGAAGCAGGGGCAGTCTTCTGTGGCTGAGACTCTCAACCTCTGGGATCTGTGTTAACTCTGGGTAGCTAGTGGCAGAATTTGGAATGAATTGTAGGACACCCAATTGGTGTCCAAGAATAGGTGTTTGTTTGGAAAAGGACACACATTCCAAACTCACAGAAGAAATGAGGGTACTTCTTCACCTTAGGCCAAGCAAGGGGGCCCCTTTAGAGTCCATGGTCCAAAGTGGAATAATGAGATTCACTGGAAGAATTTTTCCTGCATTCTCTGAAGTTTAGAGGGCAAAAAAACTGGTACCCATTCCCCTCCTTGGACCGGATATAGGCCCAATGAAGGGACAAAGTGACCCCGACAAAGGAGTGAATCACAAAATGCGGAAGTGTATGACATGTATTCTACGTAGCCAATTCAAGGAGATGTGTTGCCCACTTCACAGGGAGTGCAATTAGTGGTTTCCAACAGGGACTTCTCTGAGAAACCCATAAAAGCACCCCGTAGGAAAAGAAGTCAGTTTTGAGCATCCATCAAGCCAAGAGAGACCAACACCAAAACAGGTCAAGAAAGACATGTCTTCTTACCTCCTCTTCCCTATCCCTGTTCTAATCTCATAAGATCCAGAGACTGCCTATTGGGGGGAGAAAGAGAAGTTCAGGATGAGGAAGTCAAGAAGTTTAATATGCACCCTTTCATACTGCAAGCTTCTCGCTTGAAGCAAACTTGAGCTCAGAAGAGACTTGAAATGAAATTTACCTATTAATACAATGAACTAGAGGTTTAATTAGGATAATGAGACTGATCTTGTGACTGAATGCAATCAAAGGATACCAAAGAATGATCAAAACAATTATAGAGCCTGTACAGGTTTTTATCCAGGGCAACAACAACAAAAAAATTAGCCCACAGAGAGAGCTGATAGTAGAAATTATGGGGGGGGGAAGCAATTTCATTTGCTAGCTTCATATACAGTTCTGCTTATTTCAAAGTGCTGGTTATAAACAGATATTGTGGGCCGAGCCCGTGGTGCACTTGGGGGAAGCAATTTCATTTGCTAGCTTCATATAGAGTTTTGCTTATTTCAAAGTGCTGGTTATAAACAGATATTGTGGGCCGAGCCCGTGGTGCACTTGGGAGCACAGCAGCGCTCCCGCCGTGGGCTCGGATCCTATATAGGGATGACCGGTGCACTCACAGCGCTCACTGGCTGAGCGCGGTGCGGCCGGTCTCAAAAAGGACAGAAAAAAAAAATAGATATTGTTTTCCACTACAGTCATATCATCTGCAAAAAGTGACAATCTTACATCCTCTTTTCCAATTTTTAACCTAATTTTTTCTCTTGTTTAAGTACTTTGATTAATACTTCCAAAACAATGTTAAATAACATTGGTAATGATGTATTATCCTTGTCTTTTTTTAATTTTATTTTACTGGGAATGCTTCAAATGTTTCCTGATTAAACATTAGGTTAGCATATGAAAACAAAATTCATTTTGTTACTTTAAAAATTTATTTTCTTCTGCAGTATTCTGCTCCCAATTGTTCCTATTCATACTGAGCAATAATCTTCACTGTAGAAATGGTGAGTGTAATTAGAGGTTAATGCAAGAGGAGAACCAAATACTCTGGGCTTTCGCATAGGAGAAGGGATTGGGAAGACTCAGTCCTCTTCTAAAGAAATTCAGAGAGAGGGGCTTTAAGCTTAATAGATTTGAGAAGACACTCTTATCCTGATTTTCTTTGCATCTGTACCAAACCACACACATTTTAAAAATTGAGAGTAGGCTCACTCAGAGTTCCCTACTCTGAGTCCTTTACCCTGGTACCCTCTAATTTTCAGATAAGAGAATCATATGGTGAACAGACAGCCTTACAATTTATTGAGTATCCCAAGATTAGAAGTATTGAAATACAAACTGAATAAAGATACTTTACTACCACTTGGGAGAAGAATCCAGAAACTCCAGGTGCCTGCCAGTTGCAAGTGGATTAAATATCTAAATGGGAAAGCAAAACTTACAGCTTTAAGCATAAATATGGAAAACATTTGCATGACCTTGGGACAGGGAAGGATCTCTTAAATAAGATACAAAAAGCACTAACCATAAAGAGAAAAAAATTGATAAATTTGACTTTGTTAAAATTAGAACTTCTGTTCATAAACCATCTCAAAGGAAGTGATAAAACAATCCAAATAGTAGGAAAATATAATCAATAAAGAATTATTGATATCGATTATATAAATAACTTCAATGAATCAGTAAGAGATAATCCGTAGAAAAATGGGTAGATTTGAACAGATATTTCACACAAAAGAAGAGAAGCTAATAACCAATAAATATATGGAATGGTATTTAACCTCATTTTTAATCATGGAAATTTGAATTCAAACCTGTGTGTGTAAATATTTAAGGATTTAAAAGTCTGACACAACTGAGCTGAAGAAAGTAGAAACTGTAGCTCTTACAAAGAAATGTGTATCTTTGAAAAATGGTATTTACCAAGACCATGTGATGACATGGGAGAATATTTATACCTTTTAGTGAAAATGTAGGATATGAAATGGTAAATGAAGTATAATTTGATTTTGGAAAAATAATGAAAATACATTTAAAATATTAACACTAGTTATTTCAGTGGTCAAATTTTATTTTTCCTTGGTAATTCTGTGTTTTTGAAATCTCTAAAATAATTAAACTTTTATTTTAAAATCATAATAAATATTGAATTTGAAAAGAAGAAAATTCATCAAGCAGAAGTGGAGCCATTTTTCAATTAAGTGAACATTAGATAAATGGAAAGTATTCAGCTTTAATACAAGGTCCAACTACTCTTTTCTCCAATGGGGAAATTATAGGGACCTATAATCAAATGACGTATCTTTATTAAGCAAGAATTTTCAGAAGAAGGAAAGCAAAGAGGAAACCTGGCATACCTTGGATATTGCTTGTAGAGGTTCATCACGCATTCTTTCCTCCTCTTCTGGCTTACTAGCCTGCTGAAGGGAGATCGAACAGGAAGAGGAAAAAATAATTGTAAGACACCAAGTTTTTCTTGGTACTCAAATAGGTCAGGTCAGAGGTCATTCCCAGCCCCATCCCCATTACCCACCACACACAAGGAATGGAGATCAGAGGAGAATGGGGCATCCTGTCCAATTTCAGTATCTCATGGAAAGGCTTCACTGCTGTCCAGGGCTAGAATCTGACTTGACCTCATAGAGGTTTCCTGGGGACAGAGTTCTGGAGTCACAATCGCACAGTTGACAGGAGCCCCATACCCATACACGGAGCGCCACATCCATTTAGGCTGTCATACTTAAACCAAGGGGACACGCACTCCACACCTACACACACGAACCACACATGGTAACACAGTTATAATCGCGTACCCACCACAGGACACATACAATTACAGCCGCACAGTCAAAGGCACCCCACAGTGTCGCAAAGTCACAGTCACAACCACCATGGGGACACACACAGTCACAACCCCACAATGATAAGCATCCCATATCTGCACATAAAGCCGCAGTGTCACAATCTATCTCACAGATAACCCACAACCTCCCCTCTTCAGGCCGCTCTGCCCGCACAGGCCCGAGGCCCCAGCTCCCCACTGGCCTCAGGTATCCTCACCTTAGGCCTTTCCGGTCTTTCCGGGTTGGAACCTGCAGACCTGAGCCGGTTCCCCCGGGACCACGATCTCTCACCTCACTGATCTCACGGTTCCGCGTAGGCGTAACGAAGCGTTCGAATTCCTGCGAGAACAGCGACAAGCCACTAGGTCCTCTGGGAAGTGTGGTACAGAGCGGGACCTACGGCCGATTCCTCTCTGCACCTCTCCTGGGCCCGCCCGAAACGACCGCACCCGCAACAATCTCAACCTCCGGCCGAACCTTAGGAGGTGAGCGTCGCGGCAGCTCCGCGCTGCCGACCGGGGCTTGCCCTGCGGA